TAATCCTAATTCCATGGAAATCACATAAATCATTAAACTCTCAGACCAAGTAGGAAGACCTCCAAATTGACATAGCATGTTTTTTATCTGAAAAGCTCAAAAGTACCCACGTATAGATTCAGACAGTCCTCTTGGAAAGGAATATTTTTGTAAGTTTTTGGCTGACTTTTTTCTCTTTCTCACATTTGGTCCAGGGCACGTGCTCACACAGCCCTGTCCTGAAGTCTCGTCTGTGCCCACTTCCAAAGCAATCAGATAGCACAGCTCTCCTCTGTATTTCCTAGGGGGTCAGGGCCCTACCTGAGAGAATACATGTCCGTCTAAGTGGGTCCAATGAAGTTCCCCTCTCTTGACTACAATAAAAGGGACGTGCCCCCCACTCCTCACTTCCAGGTGTGTGTGTGGGGCAACATTAGTCACAGCACAGCTCCCTTTAAGGAAATCTTCTCCACAAATCCCCTCCAATTTCAACACTTGACCATGAGGAGGGTTAGAGTACTTTGAGATATTACTGGTTCCTAGAATTTCCTCTGAATTTGCATCTCGGTCACTTTGGAATTTCATAGCCATTGTGCCTTGGTCAGAATTTTAATTTGCCATTGTGGTACATTAACTCCCAAATGTATTAATATATTTTCAGCCAAAACCTCTCTTCTAGATCCCCTCTTGTATATCCATCTACTAAAATGACACCTCCATTTAGATGTCCCAAAGTAAATATAAACTGAATTCCTGATTCCATCCCTGCCCCTAAACCTATTCCCCTCTCAACTTTCCTACCTCAGAAAACAGTACCATCGTCAACAGCTGGAGGAAGCCGGATGTCACACTCGATGTCTCCCTGTCTCTCACTCTGGCCTTAACTATGTCAACAGCTCCTTCCCAGGCTTCTTGTTCCCTTTGTCGTCCCTGCAGCCTGTTCTCCACATAGCAAACAAGCAACCTACTTAAAATGTGTCTCTGGGCCTCATTTCCTTCATGGAACTCATTATGTTTTCTAATTCTGCACTTATGTGCATGTTACATGTTATTTAAGCTCCAGAAGAGAAGGGACCATGTCTGATGTTTTCCCTTCAAAGTATCCCACAACACCTTTGCACAGTGCTTGGCATATAGTAGGAGTCCAATGCAGATCTGTTGAATAAAATGAAAAACAAAAAACAAACGCCATTTCATGTCAAGAAGTTCCTTTGGTTTGACTCGGCTCCATCCAGGCAGCTTCCACAAGCTGCCCCACTTGCCTCTTTAAACATCTGGTCGTCTTCCCACAGGCGTCGCTCTTCCACCTGGCGCCGCCCACTCTCTTCGGCCTCTCGCATCCTCCGCTGGCGATCGGCCAGCATGGCAAAGGCGTGGATCCTCCTCTCCTCCTGCAATCTCACCAGCTCCTTGGATAGGAAGTCAAACATGTCTGCCAGCGCCCTTCCTTCCAGCCCAGCCAAATGGTTTTTGATCAGTGACTCCTTGAAAAGAATAATATAACTTTAAGGATACAAATTCCACTCTGAATGGTGATTATTAGGAGGGGTGCTGGATCACTCAGAACTCTTGAGTCAATGCACTTTCAGAATGCATTTAGTTTTTATTAGGAATATTATCTCTAGAGTGGTCCCATCCCATAGGTTCTTACTAGGAGAACACAGGCGTGAGAAAGTGGATCATTTCGTCAGTCACTGTTGGATCACGGTCCTCAAATTATGAAAAGGATTTGGGAAGACATTTCTGTTAATGACCATACAGAATTTTTTCTCTCAATTTTAACCAGAAGGTAAAGTGTGTCTTCTAAGACATGAAGGGAAATGTCAAGGTTTTTATTAAAGACAGTATTAGAGTTTAATAAGATAGAAGCTCCTAGAAATGCATGCACGATACCTTTTAATTTTTTAATGTCTGTCTTTTCACACAAGTTTGGGGAATTTTAAGATCTTGAATAAGATGAAAGTAGATAACCTTCAAATCTTTTAATAACTTCAAAGCCATTAACAACCATCTTTGAAACAGCCCAGGAAAAAGACTAAATGTCTATGCGATCAATTGAGCTAAAATAAGGGGCCCGTGATGCTCTTGGCCAGGAGACAGCCACAGCACCTATTCATGGAACCCTGTGTCCTGGCTTTGACACATAAGAAGAAAAGTGTTTAAGATGATTTATCCTTTGAAACTTCATCCCATTCCCTCTTCTGTCCCCAGGTATAAGGGGAATGGGCTTTTCTTCCCGTCACATGCTACTTTAGCACCCACAGTTCTCCCTCTGGGCTCAGTTCCCCTTCTGATCTATATCTGAAGGGATGGAATATTCACTGGGGTGACAGGAGTGACAGGGTGTGAAGTGTCATGGTTAGCCCCAACACCCTCATCCTCTTCCTCACCCACCTCCCAGCCCACACATACTTTCTAACCACAAAGCTTAACTTTACTTATATAACAGGGAGAGATGGAAAGAAAGGGTGAAGCTAAGAGCA